TTTTTTTTTTTTTTTTTTTTTTTTTTTTTTTTTTGTACCAGGTATCAAATTCGAGACCTTGTATTTGCAAGGCAGGTGGCGGCACCACTGAGCTAAATCCCCTGCCCAAGCCTTGTATTTTCTTCTCAATGTTGAGCTAGGCAATCCTGGCCTAGGATTTATCTCTCCCTCAGTGCATATTATGGACTTCCATTAGAAATGACCACCAAACTTACCTTCAAATGGCACAAATTCTGAGACCCAAGAGACCACAGGCAGTGCATTTGTTCATTCCTTTTGTCTCACATACCATTATCTAATGGTAGTAGAATTTTATCTTCCACTTGAAGAGGCATTGCTCACTGCCATCCATCTAGCAACTGAGAAATTTGGAATGTACTAATTCCAAATTTGCTGTATTTTAGTCTAAGGATCCGTCTTGGTTTCTTTGCTTTTGTTTTGTTTTGTTTTTGTTTTTTGAAACGGTCTCACTGTGTAGTTCAGGCTGGTCTTGAACTTACTATTAGTCCAGGCTGGCCTCGAACTCCTGCCTTAGCCTCCCAAGTGCTGGTATTACAGGTATGCACCACCATGTCCAGCTAAGGATTTATCTTGGGATATCCCATTCCCTAATTTCGATTATATTCCTTGTTTGCACTTTTACTTAATTTCATCTTATTAGATTAGACCCTTTCTCAAGGCTGTCAATATTTTGCTTAGATCCTGATTCCTAAATGTCTCATATCAATGCTTCACTTCCTCTACTGTTGACATAGTTCGAATCTTTAGTACTTTCATCTTGACTATTACAGTAACATCATAACTAATCTTTTTGGATTTTGTCTCTTCCACAATTTAAGCACCTTTCTTCAAACTGCAAAATCCTCTCTCTAATTCACAAATTTGATTATAGCCTTTTATCGCCTGCCATTTACTTACTTACTCTCTTAGGTCTCCCTGAAAGTGCCTCACTTTCAGGCACTTTCTTGTGCCTCCATGCCTCTGTGCTTCTCTGTGATTGAAACATTTTCCTATTTTTTATTGTGAGTCACCTCCTTGATTACTCTGTTTCTGCCAACAGAAATATTGCTCTGTAGTCTACATTACTTCTGTATCTTGTATATTCTTTGATTATTCATATATCTTGGTATATTGAATTATTTTATATATCTAATTTATCGATCACCAAATGGATTCCAAGTTCCTTCAAAATAGAAACTGTCCTACAATCATCTTTTTAGTCTGGTTCTTTGCTTACTCTATGTTCAACAATGGTTTATTGAATGGTATTTGAACATCTTTAGCCTCTAATAAAATTCCAAATATCTATCTACTGTGATGGTAAATTTGTTTTTCCTTCTCCTGACATCTGAAAATAAAACAACATTTACTCTTTTCCCATTTAAATATTCATTGCTGTTCCTCAGTTACTGATTCATCATTTACTACATTATTCTCAACTAGAAAACCAGTGGACAGTTTCCCTTTGGTCATTACAAACCAAATATCTGCAACCAAAGAGAAACACTTTGCAGTTGAGACACCATCTTCTCCCTGCAATGGTGTTTCATGACCCAACCTTGTAGAATTCCTGTTCTGAATATTTTACAGGCCCTCTGGATTCTGCTTTTTGAATCATCTGACTAGGAACAAGAAGGCAAAGGTAGTTTCCTGGGTATCGTTGTCCATGTTAAGTTAGTGCCTTTCTCAATTTTACTCTTTTTTTGTTTGTTTTGGTTTTTGTTTGTTTGTTTGTTTGTTTTGTGGTACCTGGGATCGAACTCTTGCGTTTGCAAGGCAGGCCACCGAACTGCTGAGCTAAATCCCTGGCCCTCTCAAATTTACTCTTAATTCTTCAGAGTCCATGGTTAGAGAGCCAGGAGACTTCCCTAAGTACCATTACCTTGAACAATAAATCCTTGGAAAAGTATTTCGGAGCACTGTCCTTCTCCTGCTGGCAGATTGAGCAGAGAGGTGGGTTGTTGGTCATAATCAGTAAGGTCATATCCTGATCATATTCAGTTACTTTTAACATGAAGCTAGTGATTTTCCTGTTTTGATCCAGGAATTTCTGCGTTGTAGTGGGCTTCAGAGGCTCATAGTACTGGGCCTGGGTGAATAGAAAAGTTTCCAGCAAGACAATGAGATAAGATTGAGAAAAGGAGCAAATCAGTTGGATAAACTACTGTGTGGGGTAGAGTCAAAGGCTGAGCAAATTGTTGATCCTAAACTCTCAGAAGCTCTCCATCCTCATCTTCCCTTAGGGCCTTTATTCCCCTTCAAATAATCTAAGAGGCTGGGAAAACACAACAAAAAGTTTCCCACCACAACAGAAGCAAGATGCTTAAATTCTTCCAAAAATAGTGTAATGTGGTGCCCAGCATAGTAGGGCAAACCGGGAAGTCCTTTGTGGCTCAATTTGATTTGCTGTCCCCTGACAATTGTCTCTGCAGAGAGGGGAAGCCAGAGACCAAGCTGCTTGTGTATGGAGTTGTTCACTAGCAAGCCCAGTAAACACCTCCCTATTTACATCTTCCCACTGCCACTGCCTCCCACCCGCACAGCCGCCTGAGCAGGCAGGCGTTCATAAGCAAAGGAAAGGCAGTCACAAAGCACAGCATGTCACTTAAGGTGTGGGTGGGATGGGGCAACCCCACTACATTTGCTTTTTTCTCAATAAGAGTATTAGAGAGGGGAGAAGGGAACAGAAGGGAATGAATTATAAATGTTTTCTCTGATTATAAACATGTTTTCTCAACTGAGAAAAATATCAGGTGGAAGAACCACTTCCCAGGCCCTTCTCTCACCTCACCACAAAATTTGCAAAAACTGCCTCTGGCGTTGGAGCCAGAGTTGCTCTGCCCACCTCCCTGTCCTGGAAATGGATGGGGCACATCTGGCATTGGGGGACATTGGGTACTGAGCCTCTGCACTGCTGCTGAAACTCACCCTTTTGGGTGAGATTTTGGGGGAATGCTTTTCCACCTACCAAATCTGGATGGGTTGTGTAGTATCGAAGGTTCTCTAGGACAAATTTTGATTGGCTGACTGCATCAAAAATCTAAAGACAATAATCAGAATTAGTGATTTCACACTGTACCTGTCTTAATATTTCACTGCTTATGTGGGCTCATTAGAAAGGGTTCTCTAATGGATGCCAAGTGAGGAGAACACTGTTCTTTATGTTTTGCACACTGGGTTTCTGGAGCAGGGGGCACAGCAAAAAGAGCTGGGACCTGGAACATCATGAGAGGGAAGCTTATAAATGGAAGCATGAACCAGGTTTAGGAAATGTCAGGTGATGCTGTTAGGAGGTGAAGTAGACTTAGCATCAGAGTTTGGATTAAGACAAATCACTGCATGAAATCACACTTCTTTATCTGCTTTTTCCATCTCTACAGGAGGGAGATCAGGTGGCAGTAAACATAGAGGACAGCCTCTCAGGAGAAAAGTAATTATAGCATGGCAACAACCTAAGGGTTGTGGGTGCCAGGGTGCCCTAGATGCAACTCTGCAACTGAGCTGGGAGCAGACACACTCAGAGAGGAATGGAGAAGAGGAGACAGTGCCTTTTGCATTTTTGAACATCTCTGGAGAATGCAATTCTTCCAGAAATGTTGCAAAAAGTAATTGAATTCTGTTATCACTTCTGTCTGCTACTTTGCACTGTTGCACTGGTGGTAGTGCTGGCTATCTGTGAATTGAGGGTTGTGGCTGAACCTCTTCCATCTCCCAGTTGCTGCTTCTGGCATTGTTGCTTCCCCTCTCACCCAGCCCCAGACTATCTAAGGATAAATCAAAAGGGAAAGAACATGGAAAGTAAAAGCTCTGATTTTCTCTGGGCTTGACATAATCAGAAATTAGGGGAGGGGATCATGATCCTGTGTATGGATCAGCATTTCTAAAGATGCTATGCCCCCAAAGAGGAAGTATGGTAAGAGAGGGTTCAGGATAAAGTAGATACACAATGGAAGGTAAAGAAAGCAAGAAGGTAAATGAAGAAGGCAGCGCTCTGGAAGAGGAGATGATGTACTTCAGGAGGAAAATGCCAAGTTAGCTGGCAATTCTTGGTCATTGGAATAAGACAGGCACAGGAATAGCAGGGACACCCATACATACCTTGGGGAGGGTGGGATGAAATATGGGAAAAATTCAAAGATATAACCAATAAATTTTTATTATCTTTTTGGAAAAGGAAGTTTACTTATTCAAAACAAAAATGTATTATGAAAAGCCTGCTTCAGAAATATGACATATGTGGTATATTTACAATTACTAGAAATCTAAGAAATTTTTTAAACCTGGGAGAAAGATATGAAGACTTTTATTCTGTTTTTTAATTAATTATTTTTATTGGTACATTTAAGTTATACAATGTAATCACATTTATCATTGGAAATTTGCACCTTTACATAATCTATCTTGGTTCTTATTTTTTCCCTAATTCCTTGCCCTCCCTTCAACCCCTTCATCCCTCCCTATCTACAAAGACTTTGCTTCTATTTTCTTCTTTTTTTCATATTAATTCCATTCCCATCTTTCTTTCTCCTACCCCCCACTTCCCCTTTCCCTTTGCACTTTTTCTTCTTATAGTCCATATTTACACTTTCAGTTTCTTACGCTAGAGAAACTATTCAGTATTTACATGTGTCCTATTTCACTTAAGAATATCACCTCAATGTGCATCCATTTAGCTATAAATGTCTCTAGTTTCTCATTCTTTTGTGACTGAGTAGTACTCTGTTTTATAAAACACACACACAAACACACATATTTTCTTTATCCAGTCTCCAGTTGATGGACAATCGGGCTGTTTCCAAGTTTCAGCTATTATAAACTGTGCTGCTATAAACATGGGTGAGCATATATCACTGTGGTATGATTTCTTTAATTATTTTGGGAAGATACCCAGCGGGGGAATAGCTGGGTCAAATGGGACTTCCAAACCTAGTTCTTTGAGGTATCTTTATACTGATTTCCACAGCGGTTGCACCAGTCTACACTCGCACCAGCAATGGAGCAATGTTCCTATTTCCCAACAGCCCCACGAGCATTTTTTATTGGGTGATTTCATGATAGCAACCATTCTTTCTGGGGTGAGGTGGAATCTTAGTGTTGTTTTCATTTGTATCTCTCAAATGATTGGTGATGTTGAATGTTTTTTCATGTTAATTTGCTATTTCTACTTATTTGTCTGAGAAATATCTGTTCATTTCAGATGCCCATCTTTGGATTGGGTCATTAAATTTGGGAGATATGATTGTTTTAAGTTCTTTTTATATTCTAGATAGTAATCATTTGTCTGAAGAAGAGCTGGTGAAAATTTTTTCCCATATTGTGAGTTGTCTCCTCACACTGTTGGTGGTTTCTCTTGCTGTGCAGAAGCTTTTTAATAAGAAGACATCCCACTTGTTGATTGATTGTGCTAGTTGACATGCAACTGAGATTTTGTTCATAAAATCTTTTCCTATGCCAATGTCTTCAAGAGTTCTACCTACCCTCTCTTTCAGCTGGTTTAGTGTTTCTGTTTTAATATTTAGGTGATTAATCTATTTTGATTTTAGTTTAGTGCATGGTGAGAGATATAGGTCTAGTTTTAAACTTTAGCAAGTTGAAACCCAGTTTTTCCAGCACCATTTATTAAAGAGGCTATCTTTCCTCCAGTGAGGGTGTTTGGCTCCTTTGTCAAAAATGAGGTGCCTGAATGTGCCTGGTGTTTTGTTTGCATCTTCTAATCTGTTCCACTGGTCCTCAGGTCTGTTCCTTTGCCAGTACCATGCTGTTTTTAATCATAGTAGCTTTGTATTATAGTTTCAAGTTGGTGATTGTGATACCTCCTACTTTATCTTTATTGCCTAGAATTTCTTTTGCTATTCTAGGTGTCTTCTTGTTCCAAATGAATTTTTGGATTGTTTTCTCAAGGTCTGTGAAGTATGCTGCTGCAATTTCAATTGGGATTGCATTGAATCTATATAGCAGTTTGGGAAGTATGGCCATTTTTACTATGTTGCTTCTTCCTACCTAGAAACAAGGGATGCTTTTCCATTTTCTGATATCCTCTTTAATATCTTTTTTTCAGAGTGTTGTAGTTTTCAGAATAGAGGTATTTGATTTTGTTAGGTGGATTCCTAGGTATTTCAATTTTTTGGAAGCTATTGTGAAAGAAATTTTTTGCCCTATTTCTCTCTCAGTGAGTCTGTTTTTTGTGTACAGGAAAGCTATTGATTTTTGTGTGTTGACCTTGTATCCAGCTACTTTGCTGAATTTGGTTATTAAGTCTAGAAGACTTTTGTTGGAGTTATTGGGGTTTTCTAAATAGAGTATCATGTCATCTGCAAATAATGACAATTTGACTTCTTCCTTTCCTATCTGTATTCCTTTTATTTCTTTCTCCTATCTAATTGCTGTCTAATGTTTCCAAAACCATATTGAACAAGAGTCGTGTAGTAGAATCCTTGTTTTGTTTCTGATTTTAGTGTAAAGGATTTGAGTCTTTGACCATTTAGTATGACATTGGGTGTTGGCTTGTCATGGATGGCTTTTATCAGATTGAGGTGGACACCGTCTATTTCAATTTTTTGGAGGGTTTTTTTTATCGTAAATGCATGTTGGATTTTGTCAAATGCTTTCTCTGCATCTATTGAGATGATCATATGGTTTTTGTCCTTGGGTCTATTAATATAGTGTATTACATTTATTGATTTGTGTATGTTGAATCATCCCTGCATCCCAGGGATGAATCCCACTTGGTCAAGGTGTGTGATCTTCTTGATGATCTTCTGCAGTCTATTTGTGAGTATCTTATTAAGGATTTTTGCATCTATGTTCATTAGTGAGATTGGCCTATAGTTCTCTTTTTTGGTTTGGCCTTTCTCTGCTTTGGGGATCAAGGTGATGCTTGTTTCCGGCAATGAATTTGAGAGTATTGCTTCCCTTTCAATTTCACTGAAGAATTTAAACAGTAGTGGCAGTAGTGCCTCTCTAATTATCTTGTTGAATTCAGCATGAAGCCGTCAGGACCCGGACTTTTCGTAGTTGGTAAGTTTTTAATTACATTTTCAATTTCATTGATTGATAGTGTATCATTTAGAATTTTTAGGTCCTCCTTCAACTTTGCTAATTCATATGTATCTAGGAATCTGTCCATTTATTCTGTATTTTCCATCTTATTGGCATATAGGTTCTGAAAGTAGGTATTGATGATCCTCTGGATTTCTGCTGGGTCCATTTTAGTTTTACCCTTTTCCTTCCTAATTGCATGGATTTGAGCCTTTTCTTTCCTCTTTTTGATAAGGTTGGGTAAGGGTTTGTCAATTTTGTTTATTCTTTCAAAGAACCAACTCTTGGCTTCTTTGATATTTTTTTTGTATTGTTCACTTAGTCTCCATTGCATTAATTTCTGCCCTGATCTTTATAATTTCCTCCCTTATATGAGCTTTGGGTTCTGCTCTTCTTTTTCTAGAAGCTTGAGGTTCAGCATTAGGTTAATTGTGCTCTCTGTTTTCCTAATATGATTATTCACTGCTATGAATTTCCCTGATAAGACTGCTTTCATTGTGTCCCATAGATCCTGATATGTTGTATTGTCATTGTCATTTAATTGTAGAAACTGTCTGATTTCTTCTTTAATTTCCTTCTAATTTAATTTGCTGTTCAATTTCAATGTATTTATGAAATTCTTGCAGTTTCTTTTGCTTTTGCTCTCCAATTTCATTGTACTATGGTCTGATAATATGCGGAGGATAACTTCAATTCCTTTGCACCTACTTAAAGATGTTCTATGAACAAGTATGTGGTCTATTTTGGAGAATGAACCATGTGCAGCTGATAAGAATGTGTATTCTGATTTAGTAGGGTGAGACACTCTGTAAACATCTGTTAAATTCATTTGTTCAGTAGTTTGATTGGGTTCTAGTATTTTGTTATTTTCTGTCTAGTTAATGTATTTGTGGCAGTGGGGTATTGAGGTCCTCCATTACTATTGTGTTAGTGCTTATTTGATTTTTCATGTCCATTAGTATTTCTTTTATATAGTTGGGTGCACTATTGTTTGGTGTATATATATTTATGATTGTTATTTCTGCCTTTTGGATTTTGCCCTTTACAAGGATGTAGTGTCCTTCTTTGTCTCTGTTAATCAGTATTGGTTTAAAATCCATGTGATCTACAAAGAAGTTACTCCTGCTTTTGGGGGGTTCCTGTTACATGGAGTATTATTTTCTACCCTTTAACTTTTAGTTTATGAGTTTCTTTTTGAATTAAGTGTGTTTCTTGTACACAACATATTATTGGATCTTGCTTCTTGACCCATTCTGCTAATCTGTTTCTTTTGATTGGTGAATTTAGACCATTAACATTGATGGTTATAACTGATATGTATTAACGTATCCTTGTCATGACTTTTTCTTTTTGTTGGATTCTCCCCCTTTGCATTTAATTTCCTGTCATGCCTGATGGGTTCATTCTGCTGGGCATCCTGGGGTTGTGATCCTCATTGTCTTTTCCTAGGATATTGTTTAAAATTTTTTGGAGTGCTGGTTTGGTAATCATGAAGTTCCTAAGGTCCTCTTTGTCATGAAACTATCTTATTTCTCCATCAATTTTGAAAGATAGTTTTGCAGAGTATGGCAATCTGGGTTGGAAGTTGTTTTTCTTTAGGGCTTGAAATATGTCACTCCATCCTCTTATTGCCTTGTTGGTTTGTGTTGAGAAGTCTCCTTTGATTCTGATGGGCTTTGCTTTGTATGTGATCTGTTTCTTTTCTCTAACTGCTTGTAAAATTTTGTTCTTCTGTTGGGTTTCTGGAATCTTAAGTATTATATGCCTATGTATAGATTTTTTTTAAAAAATCATGGCTAGTTGGAGTCCTATACTCCTCACTTACCTGTATGTCAAGTTCTTTTCCCCTACTTGGGAAGTTTTCTGCCATTACTTCTGTAAACAGTTTGTGTGTGTGTGTGTGTGTGTGTGTGTGTGTGTGTGTGTGTGTGATCTGCACTCTCTCCTGTTTCTTCACTGACTCTGATCAGTCTTATGCTATTCTTCTTTGAATCATGTAGCAGCTGCTGGATTGATTTCTCATGGTCCCTTACTATTTTTAAGATTTGTTTTTCCTGGTCACTAATTGCAGTCCTATTTTCTGTATCTGAAATTCTGTCCTCTCATTGGCTCATTCTGTTACATAAACTTTTTTGGAGTGTTTAATCTCCTGAAAATCTGTTTGCATCTGTTTTATAGATTCCATTTGTTTCCTATGTTGATATTCCATCATATTTCTCAGCTCCTCTATTTTTTATCTGTGTCCATTCTAGATTTATTAATCATGTCTTGTACTATGGGCACAATCTCTGCTGTTATCTGAGAAATTTTTTCTGTTTTCATTTTTTTCCAGGTCCTCTTTTATTGCCAATTCAGGGAGTCCAGGTGGTTGAGTATCAGATTGTTATATCTCGTTGCTCTTTGGGGTTGCCTGAGGTGATATGGAAGTCTGGTTTTGAGACTTATTTCCATGTCTTCTCATTTCAACAGATGCAGCCTGCTGTGCCTTTCTTGAGGCGACTTTTTTGCTCACCCAGTGGTCTTCAATTCTAAGCAAGCCACTGAGCAGCCTTTACTCTGCTGCTCTCCAGTACATAATTCTTAGGTTTAGAATGGTGGCCTTCTGTATCCCTGAACTGACCTGTTGTCTGGGAGGTCTTCTGGCTGGGGCCTGTGGGCACTTGGGATGGTATCTAGGGGTGCCTCTCCCTGGGGCCCCTATGTAGCTGTTGTCTGGGGGGTGCCTTTGCCTGGGGGCTATGTTTTCCATTTCCTGTTGTCTATGTGGGCTTCTGGCTAGGGTCTCTAGGTACTTATCAATGGTATCGGGGCAAGCCTCTGGCTGTTGCATGTGCATCTGTGTGGTTCTTTTCTAGGTGGGCCCTTGGCTGTGGCTGATGGTATGGCGGAACTCTGGATGAAGCTTTTGCAGCTCTTTTCTAGGTGAGCCATGGCTTGGGCAGGTGTGCCTGCACCTCTGGGGATGGGGCAGGGCCCTGGCTGGGATCTGCCTGCAGTTTGCGCCACTGTGGTCCACACAGCTGCTTGAAGACTTTTGTTTTTTAAATAGTTTTTAAAAATTAATTTTAGAGGGGAAATACTCTGGGTAAAATGTTTTTCATTGCTGATTTTTTCTGAGGTATTGTATCTCTGTTCCAAATTAGCCTCCAGCAGTTAACTAAAGCCACAAGACTGTCCAAATTGGAATATGTTTTTAGTTTTGTTATGTTGACCTGCATTATCACTGTCTCATGAGGTAAAAGCCTAAGACATTGACTTGAATATGATAATCCTAGGAAAGCAACCAAGATGCCTAAGGGACTTTTGCTATAAGAGGTAGCAAGTCTAAGTAACTCAAGGTTTACCACTCCCTCAGAGTACTAGTTCCTAAGTCTTGTGTCCCAATATTTTGAAATTATTTTTTTCATTTTTATTAATACATGTTTACAGTATATAATGATTACATTCATTGTGGGGAGTTGATATCTGATTTGTTTCTAATATGTCCTTGTCTCTTTTCACTGTGCTTCTTTCACAAAGTGAGATGAATTGACCTTGTTCTATATATAAGCTTTAACCCATGTTTGCTTTCCAATAGGAAGTTTGTAGACCCATCTTATAAAAGGCTCCTAAGCAACCCCAAAGAAAGCATACAAAAGATTTGCTACTGCTCTTTCTTACCTCATCATCATCAGTAACTGTTCCTTTCTCAAGTTTAAGTGGGCTGTTTTCTGAGGTTCTACCATTTTGAAACCTGAAAAAGAGGCAGAACATCCAGCTGCATCTGCTGACTTACAGTCCTGGTCCTTCTATATGTCTCAATCTCCCTCAACTAAAATTAGGGGCCTAATTTAGATTACTTCATCACAAATGGCATGTGTAGTAAAGAATAGGACTACAGTGTAAAAGGCTAAACAAGTAGGACCTCTTGAAGATACACTGACATTATAATGAGCTAGTTTCTTCAAAAATAGAAGTTTTTGGTCAAAGAAGTACTTTAAACTAGGCTTGCCTGTAAATGCTGGGAGGCTGAGACAGGAAGATCACACCTTTGAGCCCAACTTGGGCAATTTAGTAATAATCAGTGTCAAAAAAAAAAAAGTGCTGGGGGTGTAGTTCAGTGTTCAGGCCCTGGTTTTTCTCTCCAGCACTGAAAAAAAAAATGCCCTAGTGGACTGCCTATAGAAATTCTTTTGGGCAGTCAGACCCTTACAACATCCTCAAAGACAACCTAAGAATTTGAATGCATACTTCTCTCCTCTTCCTCCACATAGAAATGGCCCTTGTCAATGACTAATTAACAATTAGCCAGTGAATCCATGAGAAGGAATATAGGTCATGACACTTAGCAACAAATATCCATTACTTATGAACCTTGCTTGGATCACTAGCTAACTCATTTCCCTAACCACATCTAAGATTTCTCTTCCAAGAATTAAGATCTACAATGAAAAAGTGATCTACAATGGCAAATACTTTCGTATTCTGCTCTTTCCCTTCCTTTCCCATCTCTCACCTGACAATGATTCCCTTTGAGGAAAAAGGAAAGAGGTAGGAGTCACAATATTTAATAAATAGTGGGAATTCCCTGGTTCTTTTAAAACCTACTTCCAGCCAGAACATAGAAAAAAAAAGTGCTCATCAGGAAGATTGGATTAATAATTAAAATAAATGCCCCTCTTCCTCCTTAGAGATAGTTCCATTTTGGAGTTCAGCTAGCTCAAATTTAAAAGAATTCTGCAAGTACCTCAATTGGACTTCTCTCATTTAAAAATGAGGATAGCTGGGCTGGGGATTTAGCTCAGTGGTGCTGCCACCTGCCTTGTAAGTGCAAGGTCCCAAGTTTGATCCCCAGTACCAAAAAATAAATAAATATATAAGTTAAAATGAGAATAGCTGAACAAGAACCAAATAACAAAAGTAGAAATAGCTAAGCCTAGGTAGTTGGTAGCTCAACTGGCTATAGCATGGTATAGATAATTCCAAATCCAAGATCAAATCCCATCTAGGGATTTCATCTATTACTATCCCTTGCTGGCCATCATAACCATTAATTCAAGCAAGAAATTATTTGTTTATTTGTTTGTTTGTACTGTATGGCCTTCCAACTGAGTAAGCTCTAACCCTAGCCCTTATTTATTTTTAAAATTTTGAGATGTGGTTTCCATAAGTCATTAAATTTTCCAGGCTGGGCTCAAACTCGAGATCCTTCTGCCTCAGCCTCCTGGATTACTGAGATTACAGGTATACACCACCATATCAGCCCAGGAAATGGGCCTTAAAAATGGCCCTAAGGGGAACAGGAGACTCATTGTGGATAAACCAAAATAAATTTATCCCAAATTAACATCTTCAAGTTTGTACTTGTCTGATATATCCTATGGCTGTAAATTACCTAATAATTAAAAATGTAATATAATCTTTATAGTGGCACCTTTAAAAATGATTCTTTGCTATCTAAAAGGCAGCACAGATTTCAGATACTCTTCTTGGAGGCGAATTTAAAGCCTAGGACTACACAGAAAGTACTTCTTTAGACAGTTCAGCAGTGTTCACCTTGAACAACCCTTTCATCAAAGTTACTCTGCTTACTGCATGAAACACAAACCACGCTCTGATTTTTTTTATCTGCTATCAGTCAACTAAAATATCTTTAATGAGGATCTACTCTGTGATTAGCCTGTTCAGAATGCTGTGAATTGCAAAGCAAATTAGTAGCCAGGCATGGTGGCACATGCCTGTAATCCCAGCACTTGGAAAGCTGAGGTAGGAGAATTACTGCTAGTTCAAGACCAGCCTGGACTACATAGTGAGTTCAAGGCCAGCCTGGGCTACATAGGGAGACCTTGTCTCAAAAAAAAAAAAAAAAAAAAAAGAAAAAAAAA